AGCCGTGATCCGCTGCTTTCGGAATGTCGTGCTTGAAGCATACGGCCAATCTGGGTGGAGCTCGCATCATGGCCAGCATGCCTCAGGAAAACTATGCCACATAACGCGGCTTCATCCTGGATTCTCAAAGTGCAGAAAAGCCATGCAGGGCGCGTGTTGATACGGCGCCTATGAGGCCTTGACTTGAGAAAAGCACGGATCCGTTGGACCTGAGCAGCTTAGCAGCTGGGCTGTGCCTGGAGATTCGGGGCAAGCATCAGGATTGGTGTGTCTGGCACTCGCAGTACTTCCGGCCTTGGCATGCGTTCGCACCATGTGAGTCTCATGCATTGCCTTGCAGCGCTGGCAGCGCCGTTACTTTCCAGCCCTTACGGTTCCGTGATACAGTTTTGGTCAAGAATGTGTTGCAGCTGGCTTTGCATCAAGGTAGCTTGCGAGAGGTCGTGCTTTGGCTAAGCTTTCACTTTCACGCGGGGCCTGTGGCTTGACAGGGCGCAGCCTTTGCTCGGATGGTAGCGCTTTACTTTTACTATAAGATCAGAAAGCGGTGTTGGAGTCGAACAAGGTTCCACTTGTTTAGAATTAGGTTGTGCAGAGCCTGCCGGCCAATGTCAAGGCTAAGACTCATCTCAGCGCTGTCAGACCGCATCCCAGCCTGTTCTTCCGAGCTTTCGCACTTTGGGTAAAGTTTGCAGTGAAACCAGACCTGATGCTTGAATTCGCAGCGCGCCGCTGGATGGCAGAGCTGTGTGAAGATTGCAGGGCGAGTTTGACGTCAAGCTTTGCGGAGCCTGTCGGAACGGCGAAGCCTGGAAATCTCACTAGCACGCCTCCCAGCATATTACTTCTGGGCGTTTTGCCTTGATGTAAGCTGAGTGAGTGCCAAGAGTTCATCAGGAACGTGATATTGCCTTGACATTGAGCAAATTGCGGAGGCGTTCGGCCCAGCGGGGTTGTGCGCGCCCAGGGTTGCGTGGCAGCAGTCAGCAGACTACTGTGGTTGGCGCGAACAGCACTGGCCTGCGCATGCGCTTTGGGGTTCTTGACCATGATGCAGTCTTGGCATAGCCTGTGCTTTAGTTCCGTAGTTCCTGGCTTCGCCTCACGTTGGCTCGCAAGAGTTGGCGCTTTAGCTGATCTACGTCGTCAAAGCGGACCGACTTGACTTGACCAGGCGCAGACTCTGCTCGGATGTCAATCCTTTGCTTTGAGTTTGCCCTCGGGAAGCGGTGGTGAAGCCAACCGACCTGCCCAGAGCTTCGTGCAGTTCCAGAGGCAACGTGGTTGGACTGAAGCTTGGAGCCGACCGGCCAAGCAGCTCTCCAGGCTGAGACTCATTCGTCTCAGCACTCGCTCGACGCAGCATCCCTGCGTTGAGATAGGGAGTAGACTTAGACGGCGTTACGAGGCGGGTCATGATGGGTTGACTTGAGAGAAGCACGGATCCGTTGGACCCAAGCAGCTTAGCAGCTTGGCTGTGCGCGAATACTAGGGGCAAGCGTCGGATTCAGATTGGTGTGGCTGGCACTCGCAGTACTTCTGGTTTGCGCATGCGTTCGCACCATTTGAGTCTCATGCATTGCCTTGCAGCGCTGGCAGCGCCGTTACTTTCCAGCCCTTACGGTTCCGTGATACAGTTTTGGTCAAGAATGTGTTGCAGCTGCTGGCTTTGCATCAAGGTAGCTTGCAAGGGGTCGTGTTTGGCTAAGCTGTCGCAATCAAGCGGCACCTGCGGCCTGATCTGACAGGGCCCAGGCTTTGCTCGGATGGTAGCGCTTCACTTCGGTGCCATGTACGGCACCCAAAGCTTCGTGAAGTTCCAGCCACGTCGCATTAGCTTCCCGGCGAAGCCATCAAGGCTCATCTCCGCTTGTGCGGGCGCTCGCGGGCTCCCAGCCTTTTCCAATGCGTCTGCTTTGACGTAGGACGTCTGGGATGTGGCTTGCCTTGGCCAGAAGTAGCGTCAGGTGGCATGAGGCGGATGCTGGCTTAACTTGAGCACAGCACGGATCCGTTGGACCCCAGCTTGGCTGTGACCAGAGCCGCATGGCAAGCCTCATCTTCAGACTGCTGTGGTTGCCAGACAGGTACTGCTGGCCTTCTTGCGTGCACATGCAGCGGCAGCAGCACCGTTTTTCCCGGCTGGCGTGCGTTGGGGGCCGATGCGATGATGCAGTCTCGCCCGGCATTTGCTTCGGTCTGTGGTTTTGCCAGGTAGCTGGCAAGCAGTTTTACTTCAGGTGCGCTCCGGAATCAAACCAGTGCTTTCGCCCTTGATAGGGCGGCGCAGTTTGGATGGCGGGGATTGCCATTGACTTTGACATCATGCTGAAGCCAACCGACCTGGCGCCCTTTTTGTGAAGTTGCAGCTGCATGTATTTGGAGTTAAGCTTTGCAGAGCCTGCCAATCAAAGCCGAGAATCATCTCAGGGCTTCTCAGCATCCCAGCTGGTTCTTCCGGGGCTCTTTCCCTTGTTATAGGCTGCTACAGCGTTTGCTGCCAGTAGCATTGGAGCAGTGCGTGGAGCGGAGCGCAACCAGAGCTCCCTGGCAAGCGTCAGCTTCAGACTGGTTCGATCAGGTGCAGCGGCCTACGTATGTTCATACCACTTTTGCCTGACGCATTGCCTTGCTGCGCCGGCAGTGCCACAACCTCCCATGGCCTGTGAATTTAATAAAAGGGCTGTGCTTTTCGTGTGGGGCAAGCTTCGATGTAGGACCTAAAGCAAACGCACACTTGCATTTTGTGTGGACCGACGTCCGTAACTTTGATTCGTCTTTCGAGCTAAGTCCGTCGTAAGGCGACTGGCGCTAAAGATTTGTACTGCTCAGGCCGAGCAACTCACTCAGGGCTCGGAACTCCGCAGCCCTTTGCCCAAGTCAGGACACTTGCTGCAAGTTGTGCCCAACGTGTTTCAGGGATTGAGAGCAGCAACTCCTTAAATTTGCAGTGCCCAGCCCGAGCACTCGATATATCTGGCACGCTGGTCTGCATGTTGCATTTAACATGCTCGAAGCATGTAAATGTGTATGTTTGCCATATTGGGGTGACAACGCTTGATTTTACTCTACATTCGGGCTCGCAGAATTGTTTTCGGTAAAGGACGCAGGTGATGCAGCCTTGCTGCGCCATGTCATTCGAAAGCGGATTCAAATTGGGACACTTCCTCAGGCTAACCAGCTTAATTGACACGGCGTGGGCACTGAGCACTCGGATGGACATGGGAATCGTCCGTGTCGCTGAAACCTCTGTGAATGCAGGGCGAAGGGGCCTGCCTGCTGAGTTGCATCGCTAGTCGCATTGCTCACCATCCGGGCCGGTTCCAAGTACATTGCTCCACATCAATGTCAATGTTGCCTTGTGCCAGAAACAGGTTTGATCACAGCTGTCGCAACAAGTGTGTGCCAGACTTTTGCATGTTTAGAGCTCAGGGCCTTTGCGCGTTGGCAAGCATGCCGTTGAATCTCACCGATTCGATTCGACGCCGGACAGCAGTACGCTCGTTAGATCCCAGCCGCTCGTTTGTCAGCAATTGAGGCTCCAGTCGCTCTGATCCCTTCACAGCCTGCATGTTGCTGGCTTTCGAAATAATGTCACGCTAGCCTTTCCGGTTCCTTAAGCTGGTTTGGTGTGGCATCGCGGTCAGAGAAGTGGCTGTCATAGGTGTTCCAGCAAGGCGCCGGAGATGCCAGAAGCGGCTTCAAAGGTTACGTTTGGCTGGGCACTCAGGTGTTGTGTGTAGCCAGCATTCATTGGATGCTCGTTTCCCATGACGCGCAGGCTGGGTTGGCAGGATCACACAGCGCAGGCTTTGACCTTCGCTGGAAAGGTCCTTGGAGTGGAAGCTTTTTGCCTGGGAGCTTTTCGGCAATTGCACGACCCGTTTGCATCAAAAGAAGTCCTCCAAAAGGAGACTCGAGTCTCTAAAAACGACGAGAAGATGATGGGTCTTGCTTTTTTTTCCACCCCCAAAATAAGACTCCTCTAAAAACGACGAAAATGATGGGTCTTGGGTTTTGTTCAATGAAACTCTACAGGAGTTGCTACTTGCACACATGAGTTCGGAGCCCAGCGCGGTTGTTGGCTACACGCCAGTGGCTTGAATGAGGGCCGTCTCCGCGCGTTTGCTAGTGGATGCATGGCCACAGTGCTCTATTCCCTTCCCGCCAGCTTCCATTGGCACCATTTGAGCCTGCTGAAAACCGATTCGGGGATTGACCCGCTTAGGCACAATCCCCTTGAACTACCTTGCCATTGCGGAAATCCGCTAAGAAAATGATTGAAGCATTCTGGGATTGCGACCATGAAGAATTCCTGGTTTTTGGAGCCTGTTGAACCCTCAGATTAAACCGGCCGCGGCCCCGCGAGCCTTGTTGATCGCTTACCGCTTTTTGCCGCAGACGGGGACACGTGATCTTGCCAGAGCTTTGCTGAGAAGCCGCGGAATTTCGCGACTAACGGAGGCAGGCTTTTGTAAGGCCATCGTGACCTCTGTGAAGCAACTCGGTCGCTCGCGGCTGTGCGGCCACCATCTCTTCACGTTGCGTTCGTCTTCAATCTCCCGGGGTCCGGGAAAAAGGAAGACAGGCAAGCCCAAACCCCTTAAGGGGTCCCGGCTGTGGCGCATGCGGAAGCTTCGTTTGCAGCCAGCCACAAATTTGCCCAGCCACAAGCCATGCGGAAGCTTGTGGACAAGTTGTCCTTGTGATTTTGAGCACTGCTTAGGTGTTTGCAGCCAGTTCTGGTCCCTTGGACATCCTCTGACTGCAGCCGAGACGCTTCTACAAACCATGCTATCCCTTGAAATCCATTCCTTGATCAAGTGACTTCATCAAGCACATTGTCAGAATATTAACACAGTCGCATCCATGCAAACAATGAAAGGAAATGGACAAACTTGCTGCAAGCATTCCATTGTATGGCTGATTCATTGTATGGCTGAGACCCACAGGGCCCGCACCCCGCGGCTTCTTCGCAGCGTAGGGTGGTTTGCGAGTGTATGCCAAGATCCATGTCAAACCCTCCGAAATGCTTGGCTGAAAGATTAAATCAGGACCGCCTCCTGATTTCCTTGCTGAACCTCCCAGCAGCTCGGCTGGCGCCTGCCGAAAAGTGTGATATGAAAAGTGACAGAACAGAATCACAGCTCCCGTGTTTGTCGGGGGCAGATGTTGCAACACCCTGCGCGCCGATCCCTTCTTGTTTTTCATTTCCAGGCTGCTCAAGGCTTTGGCGAGCGTTCATTCTTGGCCTTCCTCAAGCTGTCCGTGGCAGTACCGTGACAGAGCTGAGAGCCTCCCTTGGTTTCTGAGCGCGTAGCCGGAGATGCCGCAAGCGGCCGCGAAGGTTCCCGCAGCAGCTTTGACCACTCCAGTCTCGGCTGGACAATGAGTGTTGTGCATAGCGTGGCTAGCATTGGGCTTGCGCAGATTTGTGCCCTTTCAAATGCTGGCGATCACGCAGAATGCCCTTGAGATGTTGCCACTATTTGGGCTGCGCGGATTTTTTGATTGCCAAAGTGGAGGCTTGCGTTGCAACAGTCTTGGGTCTTGAGCGATCGAGGTTGGGCAACACAAGATTCAAGGAGCTTGCAGCCTATTAGCCTATTCTTCCGAGCTTGGGGTTTCGGTACATTCTGTACCCAAGCCAGAGGAGATGCTTGCATGAAAGCGTGCAGGCCTGCGTAGGCGCTCGGATGGCAGTGCTTTGAAGGTATGGCTGTGGGTCAAAAATGGGTACCCCAAATGGAACCCTGGTAACTGGAAACAAACACTAAAACCGCGCAACCCTAGCTCTTTAATTTTGAGCCACACCCATATGTTGCCTTTGAATTGAGAGTGTTCTTGAGCTATTTAGACTGTAGACACATCCAGTGGGTTTCCTTCCAGCGCCCAATCTCCAGCGCCTTGCAGTGTCGGCCATGAGTCTCAATCAGCCCCCCAGACGGGCCTTGAACCAACCAGATGCGCGAGTTCAATTGGATCTGGCTGAAGGTCCCACCTGCGAGATGTGCACGTGCAGCGCCGCCGCAGGGAGCTTTGCTTGAGATGCGCGACCATAGTGCGTATGATGCACCGAGATCTGGTCAAATCGAGGCTGCTATTTGCATGACGATGGTCAATTGCTGAGCAGAGCTTTTGTGTGGGTGTTCTGTGTCATTCCCCAACATTCCTTGTGGAAACTACTTGTTTTGTCAAGCGCGATATATCGCTCGTCCCCTTTAAGTCCGTGAATGATGCAAGCGCCACATTGACATGTGTTTGCCCGCGGGCAAGAGAGTGACGCCCATTTTCGCGCAGACGCTGCAGGGAGCTTTAAGTGTGCCAGATCTGCGTCCATACCAGTAGAGCCGGCGAAGCCGGTTGCCGGAAGTTTCAAAGATACGCGAGTTATAGTTACAGTACAATTTGCATTTTGTTGTCTCTTGCTCTTCCTCTTTATATAATATGTGTTTTTCTTTGTTTGGTTGTCTTTCTTTTTTCTTTCTTTCTGTCTATCTTTTTCTTTTGCGGTTGTTCTCTCGTTTTCCTTTTCTCTCCCTGTTTTTCTCGTCTTTCCCTTTCTCTTGTTCTATCTGTCTATCTACCTATCGATCTGTATTTCTGGCTAGCAACCTATCTAGCTAGCTATCAATCTCTCTATATTTCTATCTGTTTGTCTAATCTATCTATCTCCATTTATATCGGTATCTCCATTTCCATATCTATCTCTATCTCTATCTCCATCTCCATCTCCATCTCCATCTCCATCTCTATCTACCTACCTACCTACCCATCTTATCTTATCTTATCTTGTCTTGTCTTGTCTTGTCTTATCGTATCGTATCGTATCTTATCTATCTATCTAATGTACTCTATATGTCTGTCTGTCCATCCATCTATCGTTCTATTTGTTTATATCTATCGATTTATTTATATCTATCTATTTATCTATCTGTCTATCCATCTATCTATATATGTCTGTCTATCCATCTATATATTTATCTATGTATCTATCTGTCAGTCTATCTATCTATCGATCTATCCATCTATCCATCTTTCCATCTATCCATCTATCTATCTAATGTATCTATGTATATATCTTTCTATCTATCTATCTATCTATCTAATCTATTTATTTATCTATCTATCTATCTATCTATCTATCTATCTAACTAATCTATCTATCTATCTGTCTAGCTAGCTAGCTGTCTATCTATCTTTCTATCTATCTGTCTACTAATCTATCTTTCTATCTATCTGTCTATCTTTCTATCTATCTGTCTATCTATGTATATTTCTATCTATCTAATCTATCGAATCTATCTAATCTATCTAGTCTATCTAATCTATCTATCTATCTATCTATCTATCTAATCTAATCTAATCTAATCTAATCTAATCTAATCTAATCTACTCTAATCTAATCTATCTATCTATCTATCTATCTATCTCCTCTATCTATCTATCTATCTATCTATCTATTTAATCTATCTATCTATCTGTTTATCTATCTATCTATCTATCTATCTATCTATCTATCTATCTATCTATCTATCTATCTATCTATCTATCTATCTATCTATCTATCTACTAATCTATCTATCTATTTGTCTATCTATCTATCTTGTCTATCCTATCCTATCCTATGCTATCCGATCCTATCCTATCCTTTCCTGTCCTATCCTATTTATTTATCTATATCATATGGTCTGATCTGATCTGATCTGTCTATCTATCGTCTATCTCTTTATCTATCTTCCCAAAGCGATGCGCCTGCCACGACATCCGTACTGCCACGACATCCGTGCCGGAGAATCCGTGCCGGAGAACACGTCCTTGCGCGCATTGCCCAACCTCTTCGCCTGAGCCTGCAAAAGTGCTGCGCTCCTGAAGTGCTGCGCCCGTCACGCAAAGCTGACGTCGCACGAAGCCAACGGGCGATGTTTTCCGAGATCTTGCGAATTGGCGTTAACCTGGCGCTGCTTGAACAGGCGTTGTTTTTCCTTCTTCCTTTTCTATTCTTTCTTTTTTTCCTCTCTGAGTAATTTTCCCAATAACTGACTGAAGCCCTGGACTGGCTAGGTGCTTTTATCGGCTTTTTGGCGTCGTTCTCGGTGTTGGGGCCCAAAGTGGGGATGGCTTCGTTGGCATCCTTGGGTTGATGAGTGTTGACGGTTACGCGAGTGCGTTTTACTGGAGTCTCCTCTATTTCAAATCCAGTTGCTGAAATGAATATGTTTTATTTTCCCTTGTTGGTCTTGAAGGGAATCTATCACTACTGGATTTTTTAGAAGTTTTTATTATTATGATTATTATTGTTTTATTTTTTATTTTTCCGGGGGGCTTAAGCAAATGGAAGATTTTGTCCCAAAGCTGACAGCTATGGACTGCCCAGCTAGGCTTCGGAGTGCATCGGAGCGGCTGGAGGGGGGGGCGGAAGTCGAAAGGTTCTGTGGGTGGCTGTTCGGGATAGCACCGAGGCGTTTCGAGGAATGCCGCGTTCAACACTTGCAAATCCGGAGGCGTGTTCTTGTGCCATCGCGGGAGAATTCAGATTCGCCCCAGCTGAACGCCGACGCCGGAACAGATTCGCGATTTGGTAAACGGGTTGTTTCGAGGGTTAGCAGATAAGGTTGTCTAGACAGTAAAACTTGTCTAGCTGCGAGCAGGCTTACATTGTACTTTCAATTGGGCTGGAGAAGTGCAGAGATTTGGCTCGAGCGGATGGAGCAGTGAGTAGCGCTTGCCATTCGGACATGCAAGACCTTGACTCGGAACGGTGTGGCTTTGGCATGCCCATGTGGAGCCAAACGAGGTCCCTGTCCTGATGACAGACTAAGCTCGTTTCTATTTGTTCAAGAGATGCTTGTCCGGCGCATTGGCTAGCAACTCGCAGTGCATGCAATTTCCAGCCATTGAGCGCAGAACCAGGACTGAGTCTGCTGGCGCTCGGTGAGTATTTGAATTCAGAGCTCCCAGCCACTTCGGTGCCGGTCCGCTTGGGGGGTCCTTTTCGGCCGCATCCTCTGACCTTGAGGAGACCCTCAGGCTGCTCAACTTGAGCCGCTTGCCTCTTGCGGCTGAAACCTCCAGGCCTTTTGCCCAGGTTTTGGCCTTTGAGGCAAGTTCCCAGGAGCACTTGGGTAAGCTGTGTAAACTGAATCTTTTGGCGCTCAGCGACTGGCCAAGCAACGATGGCTGCTCCTCACGCTTCGCCGCGTTTGTGACTCTGACTGTTCATGCTGCTTGGAGTGCGGCGGCGATGGCCGGGATGCGCTGAGATCAAGTCGGGTCGACTTGGCTTGAGGAAAGCTTGGAGCCGCTGCCTGCCAGCTTGGAAGTGCCCGGAGAGCGGCAAGCTTGAGTTTCAGACTGATGTGGCTGGCAGAGACGGCGCTGGCCTGCGCTTGCGCTCACACCGGGTCAATCGGGCACGTTGCCTTGCAGCGCCGGCAGCGCCGTTACTTTTGAAGCCTCACGCTTTCGAGGCTGGCGCAATCTGGCTGTGACTCAGTCTGGAGTTTACTGCTCTGCCTGGCTTTTTGCTAGGGTAGCTTGCAAGACCTTGCGGTTGGTGTAAGCAGGAACCAAACCAAGGCAGCTTGAGATGATGCGCAGGCGCTCCTCAGTCGCATTGCTCCGGGCTGACTTAGCCAGCCGAGCCGGCTGCGCCAGTGTGAAGATGGCAACTCCTCTCAGCGGCGAGCCGCAGCTGAGTCTTGACACAGGCTGCTTGAAAGAAGATCTTTGTTGGCTGCCAGGAGTGGCATAAGGTAGTCCGTGCAAGACAAAACCAGGTTGGCATGCGCCGGAAAGTTGGCATGCATACAAATGAATATCAATGATGCCGTAGATTCAGTGCGACAATCCAGCCAAATCACCCGCGCTCAGTCACGCTGAAATGTGCGATGGTGATGGGTTGTAACAAGTCCGGGAATCCGACAGTTCAAATGTTGTAACCTGTGCCACTCGAATGTTGCTTTAAGAAGACTACAAAATAATGTTATGACCAACATGGAGTTTCCGGGATAGTTTGCACTTGGGTGAGCTTTGCGTCGAGCCATATGGCTGCGCAGGCTTGGATGGCCCTGCTCTGCAAAACCTGCGCTGTTTTTGCAACTGGAGCTTTGTGAAGTTTGCAGCTGGGCGAGTTTGGGGTTAAGCTTCTTCAGATCCAGCCAAGCCATGAAGGCTCAGACTCGCAGAACTCGCGCGCTTCAGCATCCCGCTGTACTCCTGCAGGCCTTTGTGCCTTGATGTAGGCTTCTTTGAATGAGGTTAGTGTTGGCTGCCGGGAGCATAAGATGGCATCAGGAGCATCTTGCTCCCT